TTTCTCATAAACCGAAGTCATTTAGGTTACAGTTTCTTGTCCTGGTATGGTCCCACCTTTCTCATGTATGTCAAGAGGCAGTCTGGACCCCTGGGTGACCTGAGCTGCTCAACCTGGTTATGCTCTTGGGTGCTGTACATGGTTTGTGGACATTGGTTAAATATTGCTTTCATGGTGCATCTTTCTTTACCCAAGATATTTGTTTTGCTTTGTCTGTACTTTTTTGGGTAGTTATACCGAGTTTTGGGTTGGTGTCGCTTTCCATTCGTCGCTCGCCTCTGTGAGCACACCAAATTTTGGTAATGATGTTTGGTAGGCGTGCACAAAAGTCCAGTGGCCTGGTAGTTTCATGGACATCTTTGTGATTCCAACACCAATTCATCGAGTAGCTACTAAGGCTGCCCGAAAAAGGCATTTCATTACATTACTGTACTCTACTTAATTTTTTCAATTATTATTATTATTATTATTATTATTATTATTTACACAGTCATTGTTTATATATTTTTGTTGCCAAAATATGCAGAATGTGTGTCATTTGCTGTAGGTGCAATTATTCAGAAGTCTGGATTATTTACGATTCGAGATTGAATCTGAAGTGATTCTATATGGATATAGTGGTTCCACTGTACCACTATATGGACATAGTGGTTCTACTGTACCATTATACGTATATAGTGGTACAGTGCAACTTCAAATATCACAAAACCTTGAAAATCTGGAGTAGTTTAATTACTTGACGCTTTAAAAGTTTGAAACTGAGATCCATCATTTTAAATGTGTTGTGAAAAATCTTAGTCTGGTGGAAAATCTTCACTAGTTGTTAATACTAGTAAATAATATTTGTTGCAAAATTGGTAAATGTTGTTGCCTTTAGTGGTAATGTTATTCTAAAAAATATATATATATATATATATTTTTTTTTTATACAAATGTCTATACTTGTACAGCACTATAAATGGTATAATTCAAATTGTATGTGACATTTCTGAGCCTTAATGACTTGGTTGCTCCCTTAAAGCAATGTCTAACATTCTCATATAGATAGTGAAGTACCAGCCTGATCAATGTTGCCTATTTATTCCCACTGCATTTGGGGTCTTTTCTGGCCTCTCCACTGTGACATTAATGAAAAGGTACTGTGGAACTCTCAATCCTACACAGAATAGTTGTCGGGAGGTTCTTTCATCTATTCAGTACTGTACTTCAAAATGCTTCTTCCAAGCTATACTTATCTTCAAATAGACCACCAAAATATTGCTCTGCTAAAGTGGTAATTGGTTGTCTGGCTGTTACCACAACCTGCCGCTAGATATCACCTTTAGTATGTATCAACAGAAATATCAACAGTATCAAATGGAAATATGAGTTACATGACAACTTTTTCTAAGCGTTATAGCAAAATTATCCAGATCAATGAGGGTCCAGTTACTAAATTTTTCGTGTTCATCCTGGGTCATTAATTTCATGTGCAGTGGGCTTTAATCTTTCAGTGGCTGTGTGTGTGTTCAAAGATACACAGCAGATGTATACATCATCTACTGTGTTCCCGTCAAGTATTTTGTGGCAACATCAAAAGGGTTCCTTCTCCTTGTTGGTCCAGTTGTGCTGTAGCTGGATTAGTTTGTGGAATTAACTCTAACTTTTACAGTTCCTTTGTGTTACATATTCTACAAATGTTTGCCCCTTCTCTCCTAGTGTGCTTGCCATTCTGTTTCCACTGGAATTCAGTTCGGGTATTGTGCTGAGTGTAACTTGCTTCGCAGTCTTTACTTTCCAACAATGCTACCTGCTCTCTGGTGGTGGGTGCTTTTTGTGAATCACCTCATGGTTTAAGCCTCCATCTGATTTAGTGGAGTTACTGAGCTGTATGTCCTAGTTTGTTATACATAAAATTAAATTTTGTTCCTTGATCTCCTGGGGTGCTAAATTTTATGACACCCTGACAGTTACACCTACACCTGTTTTAGTGGTTTAATGTTGCCGGGGCTAATGGCAGTTCTATTTTTAATGTGCATTTGTACCCTGTTTTTCTTAGTTATTGGCCCTTCCTGCTTTCCCTTCAAACATTAGGTTTGAGCCACACCTGTTTCTATTTAGTTACGTAATGTCCATACTCTTTATCTTTGCACCAGCTGTGTGTGTACTTAACCAGTGCATTTTTTCCTGCTCTCCTGCCAATTTCCCTAAGGTTGAACTTATGCCTGCTTCCATTTTTTTTTTGTTACCATGTTTACTGACCTAAGCAAGTTGTAGTTTACCTGTAATTGGTTTTGAGGATTCTATTCCTATTCAAATCTAGCTAGGGGCAAGGCTTGTCTGGTGACAACTTTATCTTCAATTTTTTTTTGCTTGCAGCAGGCCATAGCAGGACATAATTAGTACAACCAAGCTGTTTTATTACTTCCTGCTGGAACTTATCTAATGGTCTCTTGAAGATATGCATTTTTGTTAGAGTACCCTAGCTGGATGTTCTTTGCACTGAGTTAGAGGCTTATTGTGACCCCCCCTCCCCCTGGAGATGTTGAGTATTGTCTATCATCACTTTCAAGTTTGTTGTGCCCTGGGTGAGCACTGATGTTTATTTTGCATTATGAATTCCTCCTTTTTGGGATTTGGTGGTACAGTTTTTATTTTTTCCCCTAGCTAATCCAATTTTCCTGTATTTTGGTATAGGTGTGTTTGGTTCCTCATTTGAATCCTGTCTGCTTCTTTGTGGGCCCATGACCCCTCTGGATTTCTATTTGGTACATGGCCATCTTGGCTTCTGTCTTTGTATCTCGCCCACCTTGTAGTTGGGGCTCTTTTGGTATCTGTTCATTGGATGTATGCTAACTCCTTATCTTTGGCTTTGGTAAATATGTTCTATAAATTGCGGTGAGAAAAAATGGATTTTTTTTTTAATTTCAAATGGAACAGCTTGAACCCGTTGTTCTACATTTTCAAGGTTCTACTGTGCATATAAATACACTCTCTTAGAAAAGCTTTAAAGATATGTTATTTTATGTTCTTCAATTATGGATAACTGATTGCTTATGAATATAGGTTTATTTTGTAATACATGAACAAAATGGTTGGCAACACAAATAATATCTGGTACACAAGAATATGACTGGATTAGATTTTAATTTATTTGATGTGGCTTTTCTTGAGTTACATACGTAGTGTTAATTTTATTTTGCATGATTGTGTAAATGTGGAAAATGTCTTTTTCCCATTTGCATGTTTTTGTCTTTACATTCCCATATCTGCATGCCAAAAGTTGCCTGCGAGTAGGTGCCATTATTTTATAAAAGTATTTAAAAATATTGTAATATTTTAAGGTACTATATAATAATACTTAACCTTGTTTTTCATGCTGACTGAGTTTCATGTTCTGTTGAAAGATAGATTTGTCTTCTAAGTCCTAACACTCGTTGTCTAATTGATTTTGTGAATGTTTAACAACTTTGAAAATATGTTTGGCATTATAGCTACAGATAATGTTAAATTAATTAATCTTTTAACATATTGGTCTTATTTTATCTTTACAATTAAAATAATGTATTTGTAATATTTAAAATATTTTCCTGAATTTATATTATGGATTTTTGTATTGATCATAAGGTACTATAAAATACCCGTGAATCAGTGCATATAGTGAAGTGAATTAGAAAGTTGAAAGCATTTTTGTAAGCTCTTAATTGTATGGTGTTGCCTAAATGTGGGGAGACTGGTGCGGTATATACAATATGTTTACTGCCATTGTCAATATCTAACACAGCACTAGAAAGTATTATTGTTTGTTTTGAAATTTTTTGGTTGATTTTGAGTAAATTTATACAATTAATGTGCTGCTTGGCTCTTTTCTGCTAAAATGACAAATTTCTTCATGTTTGAGTTTAATGGGGATGATAACTAAAGGTAAAATAGTTCTATAGTAATACAGTGAATGTCATTGGGGACTAATTGTCATCCATGGCATGTTTTATCGGCATTAGAATTCCAGTGTGGTGCTTGTGTGTTTGGGTTTTGTGTTTGTCTCCATCTTTGTGGAGCCGGTCAGCCGAGCGGACAGCACACTGGACTTGTTGTCCTGTGGTCCCGGGTTCGATCTCGGGCGCCGGCGAGAAACAATGGGCAGAGTTTCTTTCACCCTATGCCCCTGTTACCTAGCAGTAAAATAGGTACCTGGGTGCTAGCCAGCTGTCACAGGCTGCTTCCTAGGGGTGGAAGCCTGGTCGAGGACCGGGCCGCGGGGACACTAAAGCCCCGAAATCATCTCATGATAACCTCAAGAAGATCTTATGGAGTAGATGTAAAAAGGAGCAAGATATATCAAAGCAAGATTCATAAATTATTCTAGTTACTAATGAATTTATTTCAAAGCTTGCGAGGATGCTGCTAAATTGATAAGAAAATGGAATACCATGTTGGTAGTTATTAGTATGAGTGAGGACCTATGACTTAAGCTTGAGGACCTGAACTTGTTGGTATGAGCTTGAGTGTTCAAAAGTTGAACAGGAAGAATTCTAATGCAGTATATTAACATATGGAAAGTTAACCACTGTGAAGATGTGCATTATTTAATTTTGTAATACATTCCAGTTGACTATGAACTATTATGAAATAACCAGTAGATCATATTTGCAGAAATAGTGAATTATATATATATACTCTAGTGATTCTTCAAAAGTCAAGGTAGTGTTATATTTAAAAGTATCATATGGTCAATAGAGAGTAATACTGTATGCATCTTCATCATTCAAAGTCTTTGTTATCTAAGTTTTTTTTTTAATTTATCCATCAATAGACCTTTGGAAATGTGAACTGAGCGCACAATTAAAACGACAGAATTTTAAAGAAGCATAACTGAATACAGTACTATATTGCTTAAAGGAAAAAGCCTAAAACAAATTTGGCTTAAATGATGTCATTGTTTTTCTATCTACTTTAATTGCTTTCTACTTGAAAATTTTAAGTTTGTTTGGCTCATGCATTTGTAACGATTGTTTTGGCAGCAGCTCAGGGTGGTGGGTATGCTGGTGCTCCTCCTCAACCTCAGTTTCCCCCGCCTCCCGGCACTGCCCCGTCAATACCTTCAGCTTTGGACTTCAACCAGCCTCCACCAGGCTTTCCTCCAGGTATAATACTAGGGTTCACTTGCTTTGAATTAATGGGATACCTGTTGTAGTTTTTCATACTTGTGTGGAATTATGTGGCTAAGTTTATACTGTACATTTATTTTATTTATAGTGAGTGGGCAATATGTTTAAATATTTGGTATTGTTTGAATGGACTGTGTAAAATAGGAAATTTAATTCTTTTACACAATTTCACAGTAGGGCATTTGGTGGTGTTAGTTATAATTCAGATGGAACAGGAATTTTAGTTTATTAAAAAGGTTTACAAGTCTTATAAACTTAGCAGAGGATGAATCCTCATAGCTATACTGTGTATTATTAGGGAAATTTATTAGGTAGTTATTTATGTTTATAGGTGGGAAATATATCTCACAACTTGCTAAATTTATTATCTCAAGCGATTGGAGCTCTGTACATAATTGCTATGACAAATGGAGCAGTTTGAGGATTAAATTTCAGGATGTTTAAAAAAAATTACAATTCATAAAGAAAATAGTTCATATTGAAATAATGTTTATTTGATAGTAGTAGTCAGACATTTAGGTACATGAATGTAGTAATAGGTATCTAGTCTGCAATGCTTTCTTAACTAATTTCTAGTACAAAAGGCATTAATTATTTAAGAATGACATAGTGCACTGATTGAATAACCAGCAAAATGTATAAAATATATACAGGTATAGTGAATATGCTTTATATAATTAAATTTTAAAAACAAATTTAGGAAGTACAGAGGAACTTTGAGTGACGAGCGGCTCCATCTACGTGCATTTCGGGTAACGAGCGAGCCATTTGCAGAAAATTTCTCGGTTGATGAGTTTCCGCTCCATTAACGAGAAAACCACGTGGTGCTTCCTAGCGTTCCCGCTGGTTCTTTCAAATTCTCGGACGCCTCCGACTTTGCAAATGAGTGATTTTTTTTTAAAGATGCTAATGATGGTGGAATGTAAAGGGGTGACTGCTGTAATGTTGCAAAGCATTGATTTTTTTTTTTTAAATTTGAAAGAAAAAATGTTAAAAAGGTTCATTCAGTGTATTTCAGGTAGGCTGCTCCATTTTCTATTAAAAATAAAAAAATAAATTCAATTTTTGTTTAAATTGAAAAAATGAAAAATGTCAAAGGTTCATTCAGAGTATGTCAGGTAAGCTGCTCTATTTTTTATGAAATTTTTTGAAAATCCAATATCATATTGATGTTTCTTGGTGTTGGAACGGATTAATTTTATTAACATTATTTTAAATGGGGAAATTCGTTTCACAAGACGAGCATTTCACATTATGAGCTCGGTGCCGGAATGGATAAAATTCGTTAATCGAGGCTCCTCTGTACAGTAAAGGGCACCTACTGATGTAGTATTATGTAATTATTTCTTAATATTTGTTTAATTGTTAACTAATGTTGTAATATTTTTATTTGCAGGCTTACCTCTTGTCGATTTCAGCAAACCACCCCCAGGATTCCCTATTGAGGAACAAAAGGAAAACCTAGTACCAACAGTGCCATACTATGAGCTACCTGCTGGACTCATGGCACCTCTTGTGAAAATGGAACACCACAAGTATATGCCACTGGATCCTAGTGACTTGAGACTCCCACCACCAACACCCCCAAGTGATAGGCTGTTAAGAGCAGTGGAGAATTTCTATGCTCCACCTTCTCATGAGAAGCCTCGGAACAGGTGCTCAAATTATTTTAATGTGTGTTTGGATGTAGCATTATTAGACAGGTATTTCCATTTTCAGTGTTGAGCCTCCTAGGCATTGCACACCCACCTCACAGTTGAGGAAATCAGATTTGAAGCATGGGCAGGTTGGGGTGATTGGACACCATTCTCTCGTCCCATTTCCAACTGTACATGTACATTAAACAGTAATTGAGAAACTGGATGCCAAACAGTTTGCATTGAGTAATTTTGTTTTTTGATGCTTTCAGTGAGGGCTGGGAGCAGTTAGCCTTATATGATTACTACAAAGAAAAAAGTCAGTCTGTTAAACGCATTGAGAAAGATATTAGTGATGGAGTGAGAGAGCGTTCACGGTCCCCATCTCCGGTTGTGATTGAACCACCACCAGAGGAAGAGGAAAGACCTTATGATCAGCCAGTCAGGAGATACAGGTAAGGTGGAAATATTTGTCATAAATTAATAAATGGCATTATGTAATGTGAAGTCAAAATGTAATATTTCTAATTCGGTTTCTGTTAATTTTTTTAATCAAATCAGAAATGTAATTAATTCTATCACAGTTTTCTTTACCTAGGCTATACTATATTTGCATTATCATGATTTTAGATCTTAAAACAACCTCTTGTGTGGGACTCTGTCAAAAGCCTTTTTTAGGTTCAGATACAGTCAAGCCAACCATCACCTTCCTGTAGAATCTCTGTAGCTATCAAAAAAAACTAAGCAGATTTGTTACACGGGGATCTGCAAAAACCATACTATCTGACTGTTATTGTCATTACTCTCCAGGTGTTTCTACCATTTAGTTTTAACTATTTTTTCTAGTGTTTTGACTATCATACTTGATAATGATATGGGTCTATAATTTAGAGGGCCTTCTCTGCTACCATTTTTGTAAATTGGAACTGTTTGCCTTTTTTCATATCTGCTAAGTTTCCTGTGCACAACAATGTTTGGAATATGAACTAAAGTGAAATGCTCAGCTCGGTTGCATTGTCTCAACACCCAAGGTGAAACTCCATCTGGTCCAACTGCTTTATTCCCTCCTAGCCCCTTGAGTAATTTTTCCCACTTTGTCTTGAGACACCTCTATGTATCCTATAGTATTCTCTGGAATTAGCATTTTCTCTGGTTCTCTGAAAACCTCATTTAGCACAAACACACTTTAGAACTGTTCTTTTAGTGTTTTGCACATTTCTTTTTAATTTTCTGTAAATGTTTCTAAGTCATTTTTTGTTCTAATCACTCCATTAATCAATTAATTTAATTTTGTGTGTGTACAATATTATGGTTAAAAAAAAAAAAAGAAATTGGGCATAATTTTTTGTTTTGCAGATCAGAAAGTCCAGAAAAAGTTGAGGAAAAGAAGAAATCTCGATCCCGCTCACATTCACGAAGTCCAAGTCCTTTACGGCGCAGTACATCTAGTCAGAGATCTCGTTCACGCTCTCCATCTCGGTATGCCTTATGTAGGGTTTTTATTAACATCTATTTCTTATTGATGTATTCCCCTTCTTTTGGCAGACTTATTATTTTTCTATATTTGCTGAGGATTGAAATGCAGCCAAAATTTTACATTTTAATTTTATGCACATTTTATAACATTACAACCTGAGCAGTTAATATTGTTTGCAAGGGCCAAATGATGGTTACCTGTAGCTAGCCACATGGAGATAATTCCACACCTATAAGTCCCCTCAGCTCTTGCAAGCCCCACATGCAAATAGTGGAGGAAAACCTTGAACTAGCAAGGAAGGTCTCAAGACCGATCCACTGAAAAAGGCAGAGCCATGGAAAGATGCTCAGGTTCAGACACCAAGCTTGAAGGGTTGGAAACCAAGACAGAGCTTACAACCAAAGAGCCAGAGCCTTGCCAGCATAAGTCGCCAATCTGTATGATTGGTGTGCCTGAACCTATCTCAAAGCCACTGTAAGAAAACATTGGTGACAATTCACTTCAGAGAAACCAAGAGAATGTTGGACACACCCCACCCCCTGCTTAAATTATTCTGCTATATTAGTAGCAATTCAAGCTTTGTGTATCTTCTTGCTGCTAGCTTTAACTTTCATATTTTTAGTAAAACTTATTTAATTAATAGCTATGTAATTTAATTAAAATATGAAGTGTGGATGGCTGCAGCTAGTTTGTCCACAAGGAAGAAATGGAGTACCAGCAACCAGTACTGTTGCAGTTATTGCATTTGGCAAATTTGCTAGTGTTTTAGAAATTTGTGATATTTGAAAATGTTTTAAGGATTTCAGTCTTTGATATCAATCATTCATGAGGTCTTCAAATTGTTTAACAGAGTATATACTCTGTATTTTTCTCACAATGTTTCCGACAATTGATTTGTATCTTTTCGAGCCATTAAGCCTGAATTTCTCTTAAAATCACTTCAAGTCTTTACATGGCATTCTGTGATTTTGTATTCTCTCTCTTTCTCAAGATTAAAATAAATTTTTTATATAATGGGTGGAACAATATTTTAAGTGCATTTTTACATAATTTCTGTAAAATTTAATCGTTTAATTTGCATGTAATACTCTTTTTGGCAGTACACCACCTCGAATTCACCACCGATCACTTTCCAAGTCACCACGAAGAGCCAACTCTAACTCGAGGTCACCAAGGACAAGAAGTAGGTCCAGATCCTTGTCCAGGTCTAGGTCCAGATCCAAGTCACCCAGGTCATCCCCTCCTCGAGTACCATTCAACAGATCTCCGTCGCGAAGTCCAACTCCTCCTTCTTTCATGTCAGTTGAACTCCACAGTTTGTCTTATCTAAAACTATATTTTTTGTTCATTAGAAGCTTGGAGACTCAAGTGTTGAAAGACATACTTGTGATAGTAAGCATACTGCATATGGCCAGTCAAAAATTTAATTATTGTGAATACAGCAACTCTAATTTCTTCTGAAATTGGAAACCTTGCCTCAAAAGTAGTTAATATTTGCATTTCCATTTGTGATACAATATATAATCTGGTTTCTGAAATATTAAAGAAAATGTAAATAATGTATTGTAATGAGACAATAATGTAAGCAGTATATGAATATAAGTTAATTCACATTCTCGTACATAGACTTTCAGAGCTCACATTGCATGAATTTTCATTGTCATCAATATACGGGGAAAAATAAATTTCAATGGCTGTAGACAGATGCTAATGAAAATTACAGTACTATATTATTAATATAATTTGTATATATCCTTAGTCCTAAGTAACATTTCCATAATATGTAAATAACGAATAGTAAAATGAGTCCCAATGTATTTAGAGAAAGAAGCATGTTGGTATGTATTTTTTTAAGAGTATTGTCAGAAGACTATATGGAAGAATCTGATAATAAACAGATATTCTTCTTTCTCATTTTATTTTGCTTCATAATCACTATTACCTCCTTCCTACTCTTAATTTCTCAGCTATAATCTTTTTACCTCCTGGAACTTTGCGAGATGTTGTAGATTTACTACAGTGTATTTACTTTAAACGTATGTAACACAATCAGATATTCTTCTAAATAGTTTTTTGACTGCAATAAAAAACAAAAAATGCATATTAACATGCTACTTTCCCAAAATACATAAGCATTCATCTTACTGTTAATGGTATATTGGGTTAGTACAATGTACGTTTGATTAAAAATGTGCAGTAGATGTTTGGTGGTGCACAGACTTATAGACAAACAAGAGGAAGCACAGTACTTGGTGAGATAAAGTGATGAGCAGTTGAGGGCAAGAAAATCAAGAGGATTCTGTGCATATAAAGCACCTGGGAATAGTGTGTCATGGAGAAGAGAGTGAAAGTTAACACTTTCCCGTCCCCTCTGTGCGCTCCCTAGACTACCTCAAGGTGCGCCGAGTGTTGGCCGTGAGCACGCAGCCAGACTCAAATATGTATACTCTTAAGTTTTCTCGTCTCAATTTTCATCTTACGGCGTTAATTTTGGTATCTTTTTCTTCGCAATAGTCCAAAATCCACCCCCCCCTCCCCCTACCCACAACAAAGGGGAAAGTCAGCCAAGCGTTAGCCATGAGCGAGCACGCATTTGCTCACCCGATACACCTGCACATAAATGTGTGTAATCTTTTCAGTTTGATGTCAACTTTCTTGTTAGGCCATTCCTTTTGGTATCAATTTGTTCGCAATAGAATGCTCTACAGGGATATATACATATGAAGTCCAAAAGCCGGCAATCGGATAAAAAATGTAATTTTAACAAATATATTAAAACCGAACATCGCAGATGTCCCTCCTGAACATCCGCAGAGTTAATTATGGACATCGTATACGTCCCTCCCGAACGAAAGTGTTAAGAGATTAATCAGAGAGAAAAATGTGGCTGGAAAGAAAAATGTGAAAGCTTTTCAGAAAATAATAGTACAGGTAGTTGTAAAAGAAATTGCACAAGTGCTGGAAAAACAGCATAAGTAAATCTGTATGTTAAAGATTAACTATGGAGAATGATAACTGGTATAAAAGGAATTAGAAGGTGGAGAGAATACTTTGAAAGTCTAATGACTGAAATTAAATAAATCCAAATGTGGAGAAGATTAATTTGTTGTGTGAAAATAATGCAAGGTAGGTTACTAAAAGATACATGAATGGAAGAGGCAAGCACATTTGTTCAGAAGTTGGAATATGGCAAGTCTGTGAGTGTGAATTGGGTACATACAGAATTGAATAAATGCAGCAGAGAAAAAGAATGGCATAGATGTGGAGAGTTGATGAGAATGCACATGAAACTGGTGGTCTGAGTTTATTGGATGAGAGAGCTATGATTGTTCCATTGCATAAAAATATGGGCAAACATTGGAGTGTAAATAGTTAATATACTAAGTGTAGTGAGTAAAGTGAATGACAGGATAGTGATTAAATGTGTACCATAAGTAACTTAAACTTGATAATGATGAACAAGGTGTGTTCTATGCAACCCGTTCTCACTATAAAATAGTACCTGTGTAACTGAAAGCTTAGTTATTATGCTGCGCATGTTCATAGTTACTCTGTGGTAGATTTCCAATTATTACCTATCACCAGGCACCAACCCTTCCTCACATACCATAGTATGTCCCATAGGTTCTATGGGAACAGGATGCGGAGAAATGCATAAAAGATGTATCTATGTGAACATTAAGAAAACATGAAACAAGGTGAACAGAGAACTGTTGAAAGTGATGAGCATTTACAGAGTTGATTGAGTTTTGTTTATTTCAGTGAAGGGGTATTAATTCAGGAAGTGGAGCATGTGTAAGAATTTGAGTGACTGCACTTGTATTAATGTAGGAATTTGCTAATGTTTTGTATGGTCCCTGTGAATATTCATGTTCAGTGTATATAATTGGGGTTATAATGGAACCCAACGTAACGATTTAAAAGGTATTAATATTGTGTTCAGTAGAAATAATTGGAGTATTGTATAACATATTTGATATATAAATTTCTGAAAAAAATGCATAGCAATTAGGTGAAAGTTTGCAGTGTCAGAAAATATTTAAAGGTTGGTGGAGAGAGATAAATTTGTGTGAAGTTTCAGTAAATGGGGGAAAAAATGCTAAAAGCAGTTAGGCCATTGAAATATCTAGGGTGTGTAAGTTAGAAAATAAGAATGTATGCAAACTAAGAACATAAGAATAGAGGAACATGGAGAAGGCTTATTGGATTTGCATACTGTACTTTGCCAATCTCTGCTTGAAACCTGCCACTGAGTTTGCTTCGGTGATGTTACTTCATAGCGTTTTCCTTTCATTTAGTGCTTGCTGTTTATTTTTTCTCAGACTAATAGCTTTAAGCATTTGGATATTATGCAATCACATTGTATATACAAATACAGTATGTATAAAAATACAGTATTTTACATGTATACATACTGTATGTATACAAATACAGTATTTCAATTATTTATTTTGCCGCAGGGGAGGAGCTTTCTCCAAAATGGATCAACGGCTGGATGAAAGCAACAAAGGGCATCAGATGCTGCGGAAGATGGGATGGGGAGGCTCAGGTTTAGGAGCTAAGGAGCAAGGCATCAGTGACCCAGTGGCAGCTGCAGATGTACGTGATACACCACAAGAAAGATTCCGTGGCCTGGGAGTGCCTAGTGCTCAGACAGATCCATATGAAGCATTCAGAAAAAACAAGGGTCAAGCATTTATAAACAGAATGAAAGCCAGAGCAGAAGAAAAGTTCTGAATTATGTTTTTAAATGTACATTTTTATAATGTAAACAAAATTTAATGGGTCATTAATACTACGTGTAAGATCAGAAAATGCACTATAGGTTACACAGTAATTAATTGGATTTTCATAATTTAGAATTTGCCCAGCTTAATACTACCAGTATTTTCAAAGTAATTTAACTTCTGTAAATATGACTTAAGACTTAATGGTTATACTGTATAGGGAAAACTCAGTATTACCTTCATCTCTCTTGCACGCTATCATTTATGGTCTTGCTAAAGGACAATTTGTAAAATAATCTTGAACTTGTAATTTTATTGACATTATCCTTGAAACTGTTTATTAAGGCCTCACTTCTGTTTGGTTCTATAGCTCTGTATTTGGTGTGCAACAAACTATTGTCAAAGTGCTTTTAAAGTAAGGATGTTTAACAGTTGGGAAGATTTTAAGAACATGAAAACCCTCTATAATTTCTATTGTAAACCAATTGTGTGTTAACCTTTCACATTATTTAGTTGTCAAACAACTTGTATTTCTTAATGGACAGTGTTGTTTTTAAATTTTATATAGAGCAGCACAATTTAAAAAAATATATAGTTTTAACTTTAATAGAACAGCTGGCTGAATTCGTAAATATTTTTTGTTTTGCATACCTGTTTCAGTACCAGAAATGCTTGTTAATGTAAGCATAGGCCATCAGAATTTCAGCAATAAAAACAAAACAAAAAAAAAATTGAGGTAACTATTGTATAAATTTAATTTGCAGTTGGAAGAATGAGTTCATATTTAATGCACTCTTGTGAATAGGAACAATATTTATATTTCAAAATGGCTCAATTGGCTTATAAATGTGACTTTAGTATTTGTGGTGTATTAATCATCCCATTTTATTGTATTTGAGTTAAAATGCCAGGTGCAATGTTTTTGTATTTGACAACAGCAGATTAGTACTGCCTTCCTTGGGGCAGTGAGGCAGATGGTGGTAATGAGATGCTGGCACCTCTCCCTCCCTCTTTTCCCTACCCTATTCTGCTCCACCCCAACTTCGCCGCCTTCTCTTATACTCCATTCCCCTTCCCTGCTCTTTCTCTATTCCCAATGTTCCTCTCCTTTAGCCTAGTTTCCCCTCCCTCCCTTTCACTGCATCTCCCCACTCTATCCTACATCCTCCATGCCTGTACTTCAACTACCTTCCTTACTATGCACTCCCTACTTGCTATGGCCCCCTCCCCCCACTACAATTTTTTTCACCATGCTCCACTACCATATCCCTCTTGCTGTGTCCCCTTTCCATCTTCTTCTTCCTTGCTTTGTTTCCTGTACCTTTCCAGTTCCTTGTCCACTCTCCCTTTCCATTCTTACTTTACACCCACACTCCCTCTTCCTTGCTCCACCCCTTACCCCCCCCCCACATTCTCCCCCCATATTGTGTTTTCCCTACCTCCTTCCTCTCCATTACTTTATTTCTCCAAACACTCCATTTCAGTGCCATACTCTCTCTGTTCCTTCCCTTGTCCTGCTACCCCCTCTTGCTCCACTCCTCCCCCTTCCCTAGTCTGCTTCCACAACCTTTCCTGTTCTACACCCACCCTCCCTTACTCTGCTTCCTCCACCTCTCCTTACTCTGCCCCTCCTACCTCTTCCTGCCTTTTGCTCCTTCCCTCTGTTACTCTTCTGCCACTTCACCTCCCCTCCCCCTCACCTTTCTGCTTCCTCACATTACTCTCCCACCTCCCTCACCCTTCCCTGTTTCTATCAACTGGTCAAAGTTTTGCTTACTTTTCTCCTCTTTGATACGAATTCAGTCACTACAAAGAGGGGCGAATTTATTTTTGGCGGAATCTCTTCAAACATGGTAATTCATGCAGTCTGAGCGCTGAAGCCAAAGAAGGGAAAGTCCCCTCTCTGGTTGATGGTTCTTTAGTGTGACCCTACATTTTTCCATTCCAGCATCAAAGGAGTAGTTTGGCTCTTCTGGAAAACATACTATAAAACCTCAGAGTTCGGAGAAGAGGGGACTGAGTGAGAAGAGAGTTAGACAAAATTGGGAAGGGATGAAGGGAAAAAGAGGAGGGAGGATGAAAAGGAAACTATCTGGAGAAAGTGCCAAGCTATTACAACTATATAGCATGAGGGAAATTAGGATAAATATTTTGGGGACATGGAGTGGTGCCCAACCACTTGGATGGTCGGGGATTGAACGCCGACCTGCATGAAGTGTGTGTGTGTGTGTGTGTGTGTGTGTGTGTGTGTGTGTGTGTGTGAAAACACACACTTGCTCTACTTTCCAGTCAAAGTGGTTAGGCAAGCCTGGGAAAAGAATAAGTTGCAAGATTAGCTGGAGAATTTTGAAATTTGACTGGATCAAAATATACTGTCTAAGCTCACTTATCCGAATTACAGTATATAATTATAACATAATTACAGAATTATATGGGAAGAACCTTGTCTGATAAGCCAGTCATGCGGATAAGCATAATTTTTACCGGGGAAATGCAAAAGTGAACATGTTCAAATTCTTTTTTGTACCACAACCATCACTTGAATTTTCACAAACACTATAATTAACAAAATACCAGTACAGTACTGTAATTTAAAACAAACTTCAGCCTATCTTGTTGTAGTTTGTCTTCTTGATTGATGCTGCATATGGTACTGTACAGTATCTTCAAATCCATAATTCTTTTAAAATTTACCTGTATTCCAAGGCTGGCTGAAAACCTACTTGCAACATTTATTTTTTTCTGCACTGTGAATTGTTACACCAGTTGTGGGATGCTGTGCATACCACTTGTACAGAGCCTCATCCAACTATACATTGCGCTCACCTAATTGTGCTTGCGGGGGTTGAGCTTTGGCTCTTTGCTCCCGCCTCTCAACTGTCAATCAACTGGTGTACAGATTCCTGAGCCTACTGGGCTCTATCATATCTACATTTGAAACTGTGTATGGAGTCAGCCTCCACCACATCACTGCCTAATGCATTCCATTTACTAACTACTCTGACACTGAAATTGTGTGAAGGCTTTAAAGTTTATCTACTGCACCCTCCACTGGTGTTTGCACCCTCACTGGCTGCTATGTATTTCATGTATTTATCTTTTAGTTTCCTTATAAACAGTACTAGAGCCTATACCAAATTCCTTGGCAACACTCATAGCCAACCGGCCATTTTCAGAGAGTTCTATAACACAACTTATCTTTAATGGTTAGCACAATCATCGTCCACTTAACACCTTCAGTTCAATCCCCGACCGTCCAAGTGGTTGGGCACCATTTCTTTTCCCGCCACATCCCAAATCCTTATCCTGACTCTTCCAAATGCTATATACTTGTAATGGCTTGGTTCTTTCTCTTGATAGTTCCTCTTTCTCTTTACACCTCCAGAACAATTACTGCTGCTATCAGACAGTTAAAAACAAGGCCAACCAAACCCTAGGAATTTTCAAATGAACCTTTGACTTAAAGGAAAAGAGAGTGGTTATTCAACTGTTAAAATTTCTTAAATCACATTTGGACTACTGTATTCGAGCATGAAGGCGTCATCTTCAGAAGAACTTGTATGCTTTGGATAAAGTACAACGCAGAGCGACAAAAATTTCAGATGACAAAAATCATCCGAAAACTAAGTCAACGTTCATACGAGGAGAGATCGAGTTCCTCAGGACCAACAGACACGAAAGGGCAGATCTCATAAAAACTTGTAAAACACTGAACAAGTTTGAGGACATTAATCCAGTCCATTTCTTTAAAAGTCACATGTAACTCAAACAAGGGGCAACGGTTTCAAATTCAACAAACCACAATGTAGACAACGCAGGAAATGCTTTTTCACCTACAGGTTATAAACCCATGGAACCGCCTACCCGCTGAAGCTGTAAATATCAAGACATTACTGCAGTGGGGATTAAATACTCCCCGAGACGAGAATACTTTGATTAACAGGAGGAGGATGGTAGGAAAAAAAAGTAAATGTACATACTAGAAGTGGTATGTAGAAATTAGTGTCATCCTGCGAGATGGGGGGACTTCTTAGAATCATTTTTATTTTTAGTATTCTTGAGGATATTCAAATAAAGCATCCAAAGCTGCTGAGATGGGGAGTTTTTAGTATCACAGTTTTTTCTATCACTCTTAATACAAACTATGTAACCCATTACATAGTCTAGGGTAGCTGCAGCAATACAAATGTACTTAAGTTAAAAAAAAGTTAACGAACACAATAAACTGGTATAAAATTAGACAAGCTTTTCGCGCTCTCTCTGACCCGCCTTCCCCACTGGAGAAATAATATTTTCTGTAGAAAATTCAGAAGGTAACACTAATCCCCTGAACCAAGAACACCAGCTTCGTCTGCTGTCAGCTTAGCGGACACCTCTGTACGATAGCTCTTTCCCACTTTCTGTCTTCCCTGCGAGATCATGCCAGATGGCGTCAGCCGAGCAGGATATCAGCTGGACTTGAGGGTCAGCCTGACACAGGACGTGATAAACCAGCGTCAGACACAAACCCATTTGATGCCGGAGGCTGGATCCAGAGAGCATATTACACATACGGAGTAATGCACAAATGATGTTGCATGAAATATCTATTATGCTGTATTGAGGATGCTGGTCATTAGGGATCTTCTTGAGGTTATCTTGAGATGATTTCGGGGCTTTAGTGTCCCCGCGGCCCGGTCCTCGACCAGGCCTCCACCCCCAGGAAGCAGCCCGTGACAGCTGACTAACACCCAGGTACCTATTTACTGCTAGGTAACAGGGGCATAGGGTGAAAGAAACTCTGCCCATTGTTTCTCGCCGGCGCCCGGGATCGAACCCGGGACCACAGGATCACAGTCCAGCGTGCTGTCCGCTCGGCCGACCGGCTCCACGGGATAGTCACAGACGGCAAAACAAGATTATAAGAGTTATTGGTACTCAACGTTTTTACGACTTGAATTTCCTCTTCATCTGTGTCCCCACTGTCTATCTTCTGTCACATTGTTCCTATGTCTGTGTCTGTCTCAGTCTCTTTCTCTCGCTCAACCACTTGGGCTGGATGGTAGAGCGACGGTCTCGTTTCATGCAGGTCGGCGTTCAATCCCCGAGCGTCCAAGTGGTTGGGCACCATTCTTTTTCCCCGTCTCATCCCAAATCCTTATCTTGATCCCTTCCAAGCACTAAATAGTCGTAAAGGCTTGGCGCTTTCCCCTGATAATTCTCTCTCTCTCTCTCGCTCCCCCCCCCCCCTCTCTCTCTCTCTCTCTCTCTCTCTCTCTCTCTCTCTCCCTCCCTCTCTTTCTCTCTCTAACTCCTTCCTGGCAAGAAAGAGATAGAGGAGGGAAGAGGGAGAGGGGGAGAAGGAAGCATCACTAATGAAGCAGCTTCAGAAAGTCCAGGCTCAGGTGGAAGAGGTCTTCATTCTAGAGTTTAATTAAGTTTTCTGTCTCATTACGAGGCGTTATCCCAGACAGGTCTTCGTGATGGGAGGGGGCTTGCTCATATAATCCCTCCCCCCTTCCCCCCTCATACATTCTCCCGGAGAGCTAATAATGGTGACGCGCCTTATTTTACATTATTTATGCGCCACAAACGCCACCACGACGGGAAACACAAACATTATTATTAACATCTTTATTGACAAAATTAATTACAATTTTGCCTAATCTGAGGATTTTGATAGTCTTATTAAAGTGAGGATAATGCTGGTATTCACTGTCACGCAGGACAGAGGGTCATACATAAGACAATAGGTCTAAACTGTAGGCGGAAGCACATATATATCATGGTTACAATCAATGTTTTAATGTATGGATATGTGAAAACAACTTTCTACTGTGCACTGCCACACAAGGGCAGGGATGTATGAAACACAAACAGC